TTCCAAGCATCTTGACGCTTGTGATACATTCATTGACAGGACAACGCATGATCAAGGGCACTGTCTGCACCAAGATATCGCAAAAGCCCTGTCAATTCCTCGAACACGCTCCAAATATCAAATCCTTCCAGCGCGGACTTCCACATATCGAAACAGTGTAATTCCTTACCTAGCTCGTTTGCTAGTAAATCGTCAGCATATCCTCACCCACCTCAGGGAAAAACTCTTGCCCTATTTTTTTCTCATTTATTAAAGNGCAGAATTTCTCATACTGTATTTTTATTTTTGTTTACAATTATTTTAACTATCCACTGTAAAACTCGTAAACTGCTGAAAATTCACCTTTTGGGTGCATAAAGCTTTTCTTGACTTGACTTCCTAACGTTTCAGTTCACACTTCGTTTGCCATATGCACGATGAATTCACCTTGGAAATTTGATTTCTGCCAACACCTGTGTTGTTGCCCATGGGACACCGCTTACATATGCAGATTAGGTCCAACAACTTCTCGAAAACAGCACATGCGGAGCGACACCGACACGATACCGTGTCTGCTTACTCGCTTCTTACTGCCAACTGGCCGTGAAACAGGAAAATCTCTGAGACTATATTTAATGGTTCTAGAAATGAATTGCCAATTGCTTAAAGTTGATACAAGTTGAAGGCCTCAGACGTGGATCAACGTCAATTCCCACAGATCACATGCTTTCTCTGCAGGTAGCTGCCCGCCAAGTTTGCATCGCATAGACATCCCCCGATCATTCACCGGTGAGAAAACACTGTGGCTCATTTGTATTTTTACCTGATGAAACTGTCCAATGTCTAAAACATAACTAATGTCTTCATCCACCCCCCTTCCGGATTGTCCTATACTTCTGATGGGGAAAGTCGACCACACGCGGTGAGAGCGCATTTGGTCATGAGACTGGAAGTGTGAGATCTGAGTTTACACAATACGTGAAGGATTCAAGTGTCTGACATGTGTGACTTGTGTTTGACGATCAGGGAAAATCAAAGCAAGGGGACAAACGACTCGGGGCCCCTGGCGCGATGATGACTGGTCACGTAAGCGGTGGTTATGCTTTGCTGTTTGACCGAATAAAAGTACAAATGACGTAACAAATATTCAGGTTTCGATGATGATGCAGTCACAGCCTCTTGCTACTTCGCACTCTTCCGGAATTCTCCTGTTCGCCTTATGCAAATGGAACAATATTTGAAGTTTACAGTGTTTACAGTGATCGAAACACTCGCAAATTTGTTCGTGAGTAGTATTTAATACGTAATTTGCAGGTAGCCAGACTAATTCTATCCGGTTTTGTCCAACGGAGTGCCTGTGTGTGTGTGTATGTGTGTCTGTGTATATGTGTGTTTGTTTGTATATGCGCGTGTATGAGTTTGTGTGTGTGTGTGTGTGTGTGTGTGTGTGTGTGTGTGTGTGTGTGACTCTTCCCCGGGAATCACCATAACGGTCGTGTTCAAAATGGGCCCAGGCGTCACACGCGATTCTCGTAGTTAGCCAGGTGCTGCTCACGACTTGTGACCGTCTTTTTCTGTCTCTCACATTGCTTGTCACCAATTAGTGAGGTTCTTTTTGCGTTCCCCTTTCGTTTCGTTTGTCTTGACCGCCACAAATCAGCGAGCGAATAGGCATGAGTACTTGGGATTCCTTTGTCCCTCCTCTCGCGGAAAATATTCGTCTGATACATTCTGTGATTCCGATCTGCTCACACACACACATTCTGTGTCATTCACTCGCTCCCAAAAGACCTATCGGTTAATGTCTCTTTTTTATTGTCTGAACAATTCGTATTGATCCACTCTTCTTCTGGTCTTGTATATATGTATCTATCCGTTGGCGTGTTCACGTTGAGAGTATACGATACTTGTTTCTGCCTCCCAATTAATGAACCGTAACTTGCACGTAGAAGCAAAAGCATCGAGACGAGGCGAGGGGAGTCCAGGTGGGACTTGATTGTGCGCTCGGGCGGGCTGTCGGGTGCCCGTGTGTGTACGTGTGTGTGTGTGTGTATGAGAGAGAGAGAGAGAGAGAGAGTATGCCTGCATGATGGAATGCACGTGTTCTGCGGATCGGATGCAAGTATGTGACTCGATGGGTGTGTGTGTGTGAGAGAGATTGTGTGGACGACGAGCTAGCTGTACACCGCAACGTGTATTCACGAGTGTGATATTCACCTCTCAACTCCGCCCACCTCACCTCACCCCATCCCACCCGAAGCGCCTTCTGTCTCCTAGCCTCTTGAGATCCAATCAACTCTCCATTTGTTCGTGCGCATTCCGGTCCGTAGACGTCTTCTTTTCGTACACTATGTAGTAGTTAGTAGTTTGTGCGATTTCGCTTGATTGCTTTCTCTTTTACTGCGTTGATTCGCACCTATTGTCGTGCATCCCTTGTTCGTCGCTTCCCCCACCCCCGTGGGCTCGTTATTATTCACTGGTTCGCATCCTCATCGTCCCACACTGCAGTCTATAGATTTGCTATGGATATTGAATCAGTAATCGGTGTGAACGGAATGTCCGATACAATTAGATGGATTAAATGGGGACCGAGCAAAGTTACCAATACGGTCACGTTCACTCCATGTAATCCGTGGATTTGCGAATTGTGCAATTACAAACCGTGATGCTTTCAACTTTAGTGACAAAGTTCGTGATTGTGACTCAAACTGATCGTTATAAGTAGTATATGAATGACATGACAAAATCAATCACTTAGTTNGTTAGTCATATCTAACGCATCTGCAAAAACACGGAATCATAGGGTTGATTCTTCAACGGACTGGCTCTGAAACAGCTGTTAATCCAAAAAAAGTCACGCGGTGTTGCAAACAAGGCTATTGTGTCGAAAATACACTTCCTGGGTACAAGGATATGAATGAACTGACAAAAGATTACCGGATACGTATGCCTGACGGGCGGCAAGAACCGCGAAACCGCTCGTGTGCTTCCAGGAATATTCTGTCGAGTCATTCATATGCTACTTTTATATATATATATATATATATACATATATATATATATACATATATATATA